GGAAACATCCACGCCCTCGAGGTCAGGGCGCCACGCATTGAATGCCTTGAACCGCGCACTGGGCAGCCGCACGCGGAGGGCATTGCGCTTCGCTCGAGCTGGTGGCACCTTAAAGGTGTAATAGAACTCGCGTAAGTCATCGCATGACACCACCAACCACTCGCCTGCAGCGAGACCCATGCGGCAGAGCAGGAAACCCTGCCCAAGGCGCTGAGTGCTGGAAGAAATGCTCTGACAGCGACTGTTCACCACCGTGGGATTAAGAATCAGCCGATCGTACTCGCTGTCCTTGGGGACCCTGAACGCTCCGCAAGCCTCATCCCAAGCCAGGTCTGAGGTGGGAGTCAAGTACAGGGCGCCGCAGGAGTCCCACTTCCGAAGAAGCTCCCACAGCTGATCACGGTCCATGTGGACGCGGGCCCCCGGGAGGCCCGATGGCCACTCGGCCGACGGAAGACGCATGGTTTCGGGGTCGTGAAAAGCTTTGCGGACCCGCGCGTCGGCGAGGAAGGGAGTGGGATCAAACGTCGGAGAATAATCCCACTTGATGCGGGACGCCCTGACTCGGAGGTCGAAGGGCTCAGACTGGGTGGAGTCCCAGCCTGCCGCTGAAGCCAACGATCCAGGCACAGGAGGCGCGCTGGACGGGCATTGCCGCATGGGGGCGGGCACCTGGGAAGAGGAGGTGAAGGAAGCCTCGATAGCTGCAACATGGGTGGCCAGGCCATGGAGCGAGACTTCAGTGGCGTCGAACTTGGAGAAAGCCCGACCTAAGTCGCTCTTGCCGCCGCGGGCAAGGCGAACTGCGATCCGACACAACCGCTCGAGGCGGTCGCGAGTACCCTCCTGGCAGGGCGTGGCCGCTGTGCACACATGGGCCTCGATGGGAGCGAGGCTGGGATGGCCCAAGGTGAGCCAGTTTAGCGCAACAACGGCGTGCTGTGCTAAGGTGCGCGCTGCGCGCCTCAAGCGCCACCGCTCGCGCGCGCGACCCGTCAAGGTTACAGGAGGCGGCGGCAGAGAAGGCGCTGGAGGGCACGGCCAAGGATCGCGGGGAGGCGGCTCCAACACGTACGAGCCGTCCCGGGCCGACGCGCTGAGGGAGGTGCGGGTGAAAGACGACAGAGAACAACGAGCACCCATCCCAACCTGAGCTAAAGCAGCAGCCCAATGGGTGATATCGATGTTCGCGCCAGGAAACAGGCGCAGCAAGGCAGAAAGGTCAGCGACAAAGGGCGCGACCTTGGGAAAGGAAGGCGTGGTGCCGGTAGGTGCAGACGGCCTCGAATCCCCCGCGGACAAGTCAACGCGAGAGGCTTCGGAACTGGCAGCGGCCCCTGAGGACAGGTCAACTCGAGGGGCCGGTGGCACGGTAGTGACCCCGGAGGACAAGTCGACTCGAGGGGGGTTCCCACTGGCAACAGAACCGATGGAAGCGACGGGCGGTGCGCCTGAGTCCCCGTCGGAAGGGGCTTCGGCAGCACGGTGAAAATTGCCAAAATGGCCACTCGGCCCTGAAGGGGAGCCAGGGGTAGAGCGAGAGTCGCGACAGCGGCACGAACTCCTCCCTGCGGGGCCGCAACAGCATCGCTGGAGGAGCGCGTGCCTACTCTCACGGCCTCGCTCAGCCCAGGCACGCCTGGCAGCAGCAGCGTCGTCGCTTACAGCGACTCGCCGCTGCGTGAACCCTCGGCCGGTGCACGCAGCTCGCGTGCGTCCACCCCTGTGGTGGGATGCGCCGCCGTGGAGGGCGGCTCCGCCGGCGGCCTGGGGGCCGGCGGAACGGGCGCGGCAAGGGCCTGCCGCCACCCGCACCAGGTCACGCGACACGGGGGGGGCTTGATCCCCGTGAGGAACCATGCGGTTCCGAGGTAGCCGCGGCCCCCCACCAGCTGGACGATGAACATGCACCGCTGCAGCGCCTCCCGCTGGCAGATGAAAGCCAGATCGAGAGCCCTCTGGGGCGCCTCGGCAGGCAGCCCCAGTGCGTCCCCTGCGACCCCCTCGGCGGAGCCGGCGACCGCAGCGGGGTCGGCCCGCCCAAGTGGCGGGGGGACGCGCGCGGGAGGGGCAGGCGGGAGCGCCTGCGGAGGGGCGTTCGACCGAGCCTTCCCCCACGCTGAGACGAGCGCCGAAGCTGGGGTCCCAGCGCGCAGCTGGACGCGATGAGGTGGCGCAGGTGCCCTGGCCAACGTGGCCGCGATCCCGAATGGCTGAAAACCCAGACGAACCGCCACGTCGGCGAAGGGCTGGAGCGCCTCTAGCCTCGCGGAGGGCGCCCCCAGAGCGACGCGAGGCACACGGCCGTGACGGCGGCTCCAGCCCTGGTGGGGGCAGGAAGCCTGGAAGACACGGCGAAGTGGCCATAGGACAGCTTTGCGGCGGCGTGCCCAAATCGCGAGCTGCGGCGGGGGCTGAGGGATCGGTGCGACCCGTGCTCTGTGGCGCCGAAGCAGCGGCGCCCGGCAGGCAGGTACCAGCTACCCCGAAACCATCTGCAGCAGCAGCAGAAACATGTCGCGTAGCGCCTGACAACAAGGGGGCCGACACTGGCAGGGACGCGGGGTCCGTCGACGCCGAGGTTGGATTCCCGAGTAGCCCGAGCGAGTGCAAGATGGCGTGGGCGCTCGCACGGGAGGCACTGACCGCAAGCGGCTCCCTTGGAGGCAGGGGTGAGGCCCCTAGGCAGGGGATCGCCGACTGCCCACTTCCGCTGTCAGGAAAAGGAAACCCAACCGCGGCGTCGGTCGCGCAACGGTTGTGCGGCGGCGGCACCCGAGCGCCCGCCTCCAGGCTAGCGAGGCAGGGAGATGGCCCCACCTGCCAGACCGCAGGGCCCGACAGCGCCTCAAACCCAGGTGGCGGGTGGAAGGGCAACACTGTCGAAGCGCCCCCTGGCGTAATCGCTGGCGCTAGTGCCGGCGGAAGCGCAGGCGTCGGTGCTGCCGCCGTCTGTGCTGGCGTCAGGGCTGGCGTCGGCGCTGGCCTCGGTGCTGGCGTAGGCGCTGGCGCTGGTGCCGGCGTAAGCGCAAGCGTCGGTGCTGACGCCGCCAGGTGCTGGCGTTGATGCTGACGTCGGTGCGGCGCTGGCGCTGGTGCTGGTGTAAGCGCACGCGTCGGTGCTGCCGCTGTCCGTGCTGGCGCTCGTGCAGGCATCGGTGCCGGCCTCGGCGCAGGAGGAGGCGCTGGCGCTGGTGCCGGCGTAAGCGCAGGCGTTGGTGCTGCCGCCGGCAGTGCTGGTGTTCGTGCATCAAAGCCAGGCGGTGGGCCCATCCGCCAAGCACGCGGCTGTAACGGCGACTCCAACCCAGGGGGGGGCCGGAAGCTGGCGCGAGTCGGCGAGGCGGCTCTGGGACTGCTCCGCGGTGGCCCTGTGCGCTCGGCACGCGTCTGTGACGGCGGCTCCAACCCTGAAGGGAGCTGGAGTCCCGAAAGCGAGGGCAAAGCTGCCTTGGGACCGTCTCGCGGCGGGGTGCTAAGCTGGTTAACTGCGGTGGCGGCTGGGGGAGCGGTACGAACCCCTCCCTGCGGGGCCGCAACAGCATCGCTGGAGGAGCGCATACCCACCCCCTCCAAACCGCCAGAATCCACAGCGTCCGCCGCTACAGTAGGCGGGGGAGGCACCGCGCGCGACAGCTCGTGGGTGATTGCCAAACGAACAGAGCTCCCGCCCCGCCTGGTTTCGACAACCGACGGCTCCGACCCTGGAGGGGGCCGAAAACCCGCGGGAGCGGGCGAGGCGGCCAGAAAACTTGCTCGCGGCGGGCGGCCAGACTGGTGAGCCAGGCCGACGGTTGAGTGGGCGGCACGACCCCTCCCCTGCGGGGCCGTAGCAGCATCGCTGGAAGGGCGCATGCCAACCCCCTCAAATCCGCTGGGTCCCGATCCGCCCGAAGGGCCCTGGGCGCGCGCGCGCCTGTCGTTGCCCACGCGAGGGAAACGACGCCGCGAACGGCAGCTGAGCCATGGCGAAGCGGCGACTGGAGGGGGAGGAGTAGAGGGGGAGTGGAGAAAGAGAGGGTCCACCGACTCCGACTCCTCCGTCCTGGACGCCGTTATCTTCGCGCCGGTGGCCTCTCCGCCTGTTGCCAGGCGGGCGGTGTTCCGAGAGGCGGCGGCGACACTCGTGGCGCGAGCAATAGACCGTTCGGCGGCGGGCGGGCTCGACCCTTGAGTGGCGCCGGCAACGGGCGTAGCGCGAGCACTCTTCTTCCGGGCCGATGGCGCGGCCTCCTCGTGATGCGAGGGAACTCCACCTCCTACTCCTCTCCTCAGATGGGCGTCCGCTCCGGGGTCCAAGGGGAAGAGGCAAGAGGAAGGAGGGGAGTTTTGTAGCGGCGAAAGGGAGGCAGGCGCCATCGGATGCCGAGCCTGCGGGACGGGGCTCAGAAGCCAGCGTCACACGAGCAGCAGCTGCGGCAGGCGCGGGAGGAACCCGCGAGCAGGTCAGACGCCTGCCTGGACGGCCTGGCTGGGGCCACGCCCAGATGACACGGGCGCGCACTGCCAGGGGGGCAGCGGCGCCCGAGCGGAGAGTGTGCACACTCGCCGCTGCCGGGTGCCCACAGGAGGCAGCCGGCCCACCCCCACCCGAGCTCTGACTGGCGGGGTGAAAGAGCGACCCCGAACCAGCCAGATCACGGAGGAAGCGTTGGGACCCCTGCCTGCGGCAGTGGCCCAAAGCAGCTCGTAGCCCAGCAAGTAGAACACCGCCGCGTAGGTGAAGAGGAACCTGCGCGGCGGTGGCAACCGCAAGCCCCCTGGCGCCCTGGCCGCGCGCGCGCGCGGCGGGGGGAGCGGGGGGCGAGAAGAGCAAGCTTGGGGCCGAGAAGCTGCAGGACCTGAACGGGCGCGAGCGGCAAGGAGAATAGAGAAGCGCAGGAGGAGGAGGAGGAGGTGGGGGAGGAGGACGAGGAGGAGGAGGAGGAGGAGGAGGAGGAGGGGGAGGAGGAGGGGGAGGGGGAGGAGGAGGGGGAGGAGGAGGAGGACGAGGAGCGCGCCTCGAGCTCCTGCAGGGCGGCGCGGTCCTCGGCCTGCTCGGCACCCTGCTGTGGCCCCTGCCCACGAGCGGCGAGCACTGCCACATCCCCGCCCCCGCGGCCTGGGCTCCCGGAGCGCGACCTCGCGGGCACGCAGCCACATGGATACACTCCGCGCGGGGCATCCGCGAGACAGCGCACCGTGACCACGGGTTCGCGACCAAGGGGCCCCGCCCACGAGGCCGTGGAGATGGACATGCGCTTCCCGCCCGCGACCTGCGGCCTGTCGGCCGCCTCCTGCAGCTCCTCCCTCAAAGCGGCCACCTGCTCCTCGGACTGGGCTCGCACCGCCTGCACTGCGTCCTGGGCCCGATCCTTCAGCGCCGCGAGCGCCTCTTCGTGCTGCTCCTGCAGCTGCGCGCCGCGCTCCTGGCGCACCTCCGCCAGCTCCTCCTGGAGGGCGGCATTGGCGGCGCTCGCGCTCGCCAGGCGCGCCTCGAGCTCCTGCAGGGCGGCGCGGTCCTCGGCCTGCTCGGGCCCCTGCTCTGCTCCCTGCGGCCTGCTGGCCGCCTCCTGTCTCATCTCCTCCCTCATGGCGGCCACCTGCTCCTCTGCCTGGGCGCGCACCACCCGCACCGCCTCCCTCGCCTTCTCCTTCAGCGCCAGAATGGCCTGCTCGTGCCGTTCCGCCTGCGAGCCATCCAGCGGCGCCTGCTGAGCCAGCTCCTCCGTGCCGCGCCCCCGGCGCGCCTCCGCCAGCTCCTCCTGCAGGGCGGCGTGGGCGGAGCTCGCGCTTGCCGCCTCCTGCGCCAGCTCCTCCCTCAGAGCGGTCACCTGCTCCTCGGCCTTGGCGTGCACGGCCCGCACCGCCTCCCGCGCCTTCTCCTTCAGCGCCGACACGGCCTGCTCGTGCAGCTCCGCCTGCGCTTGGACCGCCTGCTCGTGCCGCTCCGCCTGCGCCTCTGGCGGCGGCGGCTGCCCCGGCAGCTGCGCGCCGCGCTCCCTGCGCGCCTCCGCCAGCTCCTCCTGGAGGGCGGCATTGGCGGCGTTCGCGCTCGCCAGGCGCGCCTCGAGCTCCTGCAGGCCGGCGCGGTCCTCGGCCAGCTCGGGCCCCTGCTGCGGCCCCTGCGGCCTGCTGGCCGCCTCCTGCCAGCCCTTGCCGCGGCCGCCGCCAGGTGTGCCGCCGCCTTCACCGCTCGGCCCTCCTGGACCTCGCCGGCGACGCGGCAAAGGGAGGCCCTACCAGCTCCTCATCCAGCTCCTCCTCCAACTCCTCCTCCTCCTCCTCCTCCTCCTCCTCCTCCTCCTCCTCCAACCCTCCCCCTCCCCCTCCCCCCCCTCCCCTCCCCCTCCCCCCTCCTCCTCCTCCTCCTCCTCCCTCCTCCTCCTCTCCTCCTCCCTCCTCCTCCTCCTCCTCCCTCCTCCTCCTCCTCCTCCTCCTCCTCCCCTCCTCCTCTCCTCCTCCTCCTCCTCCTCCTCCTCCTCCTCCTCCTCCTCCTCCTCCTCCGCCTCCGCCTCCGCCTCCCCCGCCTCCGCCTCCGCCTCCGCTCCTCCTCCCTCCTCCTCCTCCCCTTCCCTCCGCCTCCTCCTCCTCCTCCTCCTCCTCCTCCTCCTCTCCTCCTCCTCCTCTCCTCCTCCTCCTCCTCCTCCTCCTCCTCCTCCTCCTCTCCTCCTCCCTCCTCCTCCTCCTCTCCTCCTCCTCCTCCCCTCCTCCTCCTCCTCCTCCTCCTCCTCCTCCTCTTCCTTCTATTCCTCCTCCGCCTCCTCCTCGTCCTCGTTGGAGGGGCGACGGACGAGGAGACGCTGAAAAGTACAGCGTTTCTACCACTGTGCCTGCGGGGTCCGAGCTGACTGCGTGCCAGAGGACTGGCGGAATTGTGCTTGGGGGTCAGGTCTCCTGAGGATGCCCTGGGCGGGTCCTTCAAGATGTCCCCCCTGCCCCATCCAGGACCTCCCCGAGGTAGTGCGATGGGAAGACAAGCGAGGCAGATAATAGAAGCAACGCAAAGCAACGCAATTGAAAGCACTGAGTAGGACAACGCGACAAAGATGCCGTTCAAGCATGTTCTAAACAAAACAGCTCTTGCCAACACGGCGCGAAGTCAACCAGAGCCCAGCGAAGCCAAGCACCTGTCATAATGCATTGCGTAGAAGTGTAGTGCGCCACAAAGCACCACATCACCAACCAAAACGACGCCTTGACTTGCGTGACAGTGTACCACTTCGTGTTCAGGCTGGGTTCAGGCTAGCATCAGCTTGGTAGGAGGTTCAGCTTATCTGTAGTCTGGTATATCAGTTCCTTAGTTAGGGTATTACCAGGCCAGGGCCATGAAGTACGCGGGGACACTTAGGGGGCAACTGCTAAAGCGCTTCGTGCAATCCGCTGCGCACATGGATTTCCCACTCCTCGTCATCTTCCGCATACGTCCTGCTGGGGCTCACCCCCCTCCTGCATACTTCGGAGAGCACGCTCACGCTACCATATTGTTGGGTGGCCTCTCAGACATAGGGTTGCCCAGAGAGGCCAGGCGACGCATCATTACTACCGCAATTGAAGCCATTGCTGGTAAAAAACTGACGGAATGGGTCAAACTAATAACGGAAGCGTCTGCGTACCCTCCTGCACCCCCTCCTCCTGATCTGCCTTCTCCTCTCGGCCTGCTCCTCCAGGCAACCATCACCAAAATCATGTTCATCACCACTCGCACAACCATCAGCGTTCTCGAAGACTCCATCATCTCCCCCCCTCTTGTCCTCTCCCTCCCTCTCCCCCTATCTACCTCCTCTCTCTCCTCCTTACTCTCCTTCTCCCTCCCCCCCCTCCTTTAGAGCGTCCCCTTTGCCCCCCCTCGCTCACACAGAGTCCGAGGGGGACCTGCTGTCTGAAGGATCGGCATGCTGAGGCCCGCACCCAGCACCCCGCCCTCTCCTCCTTTCCCTCCTCCCTCCTCCTCCGCCTCCTCCCGTCCTCCTTGCCCTCCTCCCCCTCCCCCCCGCTGGCACACAGCCGGCGAGCCCTGGTGCAAAACCGGGCCCTGGGCACCTGGAGCCTGGGAGGCCCTTCCCCCGGGACCGGCGCTTCTCCTCCCGAGTCGTGCGGCTGGCTGTGTCTGGGGACCTGCGAAGGTCCCCGACGGGCCCAGGAAGCAAAGGGACCTGTTGCCCGTCGGCAGCGCGGCGGGCCAGTCCGCTCCAGCGCGGCAGCGGTGCAGGGGCACCACAGCGCGGAGTGGCCGGACATTGGCAACAGAGTCACGCTCAGGACCCGTTTCCCGCAGGGCCCGTTCGCTTCATGGCGAGCTCCCCCTCCCCTCACAAAGGAGAAACAAGACCCAGATGTAAACTTTCGAAGCTTGGCGCTCGTCTCCTTCTCCCTCCCATCCTGTACAGTCGCTCATGCTCAGACTCACCAACACTCAGACTCATTCAGGCTCAGACTCAATCACAGTCAGTCAGAACGCTCAGCTCACACTCGGATCACCCATACTCAGACACCTTACACTCAGACTCACTCACACCCAGATCCACCAGTACTCGGACTCACTCTCACTCAGATCCACTGATAAAGAGACATGCTCACACTCACACGCGGATCGCCCCCACTCAGGTTCACGCGCACGCCAAGCCAGTCCAGGTCAGATTCAGGATCGCACGCACATGCCGCTCACAGCGTGCCCATTCACACTCACAGCATCGTCACCGCAGCATAGGAGACGTGGCACGTGGGCACCCCAAGGGGGGGCCGCCAGGAACAGGGACACTCGCCTGCTTGTGCCCTGAGCATGGGGACTTGTCCAGCAATTTGCCTGCCGTCGCCCCTCTGACCTATCTTTTTTTGAATTTGGCTCATCTAAAAACACGCCCTGGGCGTTATTGTACCGTTTTGTACTGTGGACCCTTTCATGAACTGAGAACGCTAAAAGAACGCTACGTGCTCGTCTTTGCGACCGTCGGCGTGGATATTTCTTTTTGAGTGTGCTTTGCCTTCTTGTCGGAGGCAACTCTTTGTCGTCACTGCCGTCTTCTCTCCCGCCCTCCCACTCCTGCTGCCTCCCGTTCCTCCCGCTCCGCGCACATACCGCAGATATACAAACGTAAACAACAACGCCCTGACGCCAGTCTAGCACAGGCGCGAAACAGGCCCAGAGGAGCCAGCAGCAACGACGTGAGAAAAACGGACAGAATAATGAAATAGGGGCTGGACGCTCTGAGGGAGAACCGAGGCCGTCATAGACGGCAGTGTTAAACAAGCCCACGACGCCCGGTTAAAACCGGGAAAAGGAAGCCCAGGGCAGACTCGAGATGAACGAAACTGTTGAACGCCCTATGACCACTGCGACATTGCAGGCGAGAGCCACTTGGGCGGCCCAAGGGGAAGCCGCCAGAGGGCAACGCTCGCCCGCCTGCGCCCAGATTGTGGGGAGGTCACGGTGTGGTGGTGCTTCCCCCCACGGATGCCTCGCTGCCGAGAGCCCCGCGGCACATGGCAGGCGTGGCTCTTGGGCACCCCCGGGGGAAGCCGCCAGGGAGGTGGGACACTCGCCCGCTCGCGCCCAGACTGTGGGCGAGAGCGAGCGAGGCAGCCATGCGCCGAAAGCGCGCGTGGGCAGCATGCCAAAGGCGTGTTGAGAGCAGACGATTGCACGCCAGACGCGTGCCCAGCTGGCCCAGACGCGCCAAGTGCACGCCGAGAGGACGCAAGGAGGAGGAAGAGGATGACGACGTCCACAGTTTGTGGGAGACTCTAAAGTAAGCGTGTTTTTTATTCGGCGTTTCGAAATTGGGCGGAAGGGAGGGGGGAGGGGGTGGGGCTCCGACCCTCTGCTTAGTGCGACGGTTTGCGGCAGTGCGTCCTATGGAGGAGGCTCCACCTGTCTAAAAGAGGCGCCCCAAACAGCCAAGATCCACTCCAGGGGGGGGGATCGCGGGCCCGCGCCGATCGCCTGTTTCGGCGCCTCGGACTCCTCTAGTATGAGAGCCCCGTGGTCACGGCGACTTGCCAGGCGTAGCGCTGGGGCATCCTAAGGGGGAGCCCCGAGGGGAGAACCGCGGGCCCATTCGCGCCTCAGGTTGGGGGGGGTGCCTGAAGCGGTTCGTATGCTTCAGCGCCTCGGGCTACGGTCGTCATGACAGCTCCATGGTCGATGCGACATCAAGATTTGGGCACGCTCGAGGGGAAACAGCTATCGTGAGGACGTCTCGAGCGATTCGCATGTTTCGGCGCCTCGGGCTACGCTCTTCTGAAAGCCTCATCGGCACCACGATGTAGCAGACATGGACTGAAGGGCGATGCACTTGCCAGTTTAAGACTAAACCGTGGGACCTCTCAGGCGAATCGATGGTTTAGTTGCCCTGGCCCCTCTCTTTTCAGAGTCCCATCATCATGCCGTCGTGACAAGCATAGCAGCATGTGAGCGTTCCTGGGGCAACCGCGAGGGCCACAGGCTCAGAGTCTCCTACTCTGACACTTGCATACGGGAGCGCCAGGGATTGAAATGCGCATGTGGGGAACATCGCGTTGACTTCTTTCTTTTTCGGCCTCTTCTACCATTTCCTCCGTTCGGAACAGAAAGCGGGATCCAAACACACTGTAGATGAGCACCAGCGAGTCCCTTCAACTCCCTGCGCCAGCCCCCCAAGGACGGCCGTTTCTGTGTCGCTCCTCCTCTCCTCACCTTCCACCCCTCCCCCCCCCCCCCCGCATGGCTGGAAAGCCGACCTCTGCCCTTGCCCTTGCCAGACTGCCCCGCGCCGGCGTTGCGGCGCGCCGGCATCGCGGCGCCCGCGGCTAGCGAGGAGGGCGGGAAGAAGGAGGCGATGGGGAAGAGGATGGACGAGGAGGGACGGGGCCAGGAGGAGGAGGAGGAGGAGGAGGAGGAGGAAGAGGAGAGGACAGAGGAGGGGAAAGGCGGAGGGAGGAGGAGAGAAGGGAGGAGGGGAAAAGGAGAGGAAGGAGGGAAACGGAGAAGCACAAAGAGAATGATCAGGGCCAGAGGTAATATGGCTCTGGGGCGCCTGAACCCCGTTGTCAGGCCCAGCTCCCTGGTGTTACCATCCTGGAGGGCACGGTGGCCCCAAAGCATGCTCAAATATTCAAAAGCATGCCAAAGCATGCGCAAGCCCGGTCAAGCATGCGCAAGCATGCCAACGCATGCCAACGCGTACCAATTCATGCAAATGCGTGCCAAAGCCTACCAATGGAAAGACACGCCATGCGAAAGCATACCAAAACATGCCAATACATGACAACGAATCTCAATGCACGCCAAAGCAAACCAACGCATGCCAAATCATGCGACATCATGCGCAAGCGTGTCAACGCATGCCATCGCATGTCAATGCATGCCAGCTCATGCCAAAACATGCCAACATATGCCGCAGCATGCACAACCATGTCAACGCATGCAAATGCATGCCAACGCGTGCCAATGCATGCCAATGTATGCCAACGCGTGCCAAGGCATGCCAAAGCATGCCAATGCATGCCAATGCATGCCTGTGTACGCCAACGCGTACCAATGCACGCCAAACCATGCCAAAGCACGCGCAAGCATTCCATCTCATGCCAACACATGCAAAACCATGCCAAAGCATGCCATTGCATGCCGAACCTTGGCAAATCATACCAAAGCATGCCCAAGCATGCGCAAGCATACGCAAGCATGCCGTTGCACGCAAACGCATGCCAATGCATGCTTACGAATGTCGGAACATGCCCATGACGCCAATGCATGCCCATGCATGCCAAAGCATGTCACATCGTGTCAAAGGCAGCGACATCATGTCATAACATGCCAATGTATACCAACGCATACCAAATCATGCACAAACATGCCGCTGTATGCCAAATCGTGCCATCCAATGCGTGTCAATGCATGCTAATGCGTGCCGACGCATGCCCAAGCACGCCACCACACGCCAAACCATACGCAAGCATGACAGACCATGCCACTGCATGCCAGCGCATGCCAACTCATGGCAACGCATGCCAATGGATGCCAATACCTGCCAAAGCATGCACATGCAAGCCAGCGCATGCCATTGCATGCCATTGCATGCCACAGCATCCCAAGGCATACCAAAGCATGCCATCGCATGCCAAGACACGCAGATACGTACCAGGAGAAAGCGGCGGATGGGGAGGAAGAGGGCTCGAGGCAAAGACAGTAGCTGAATTTTTCTTTTTCATATCTAAAGTGACAAAATATACGGATGCGAGCGCCAATTCGTCGACATGGGTTGGGCAACCCAGCTCCCAGCCTCACCAACGAGCCCGGTGGAGGTACAAGGGCGGCGCAGAGAAACCGTGCATTTTCTGGTCGGCTACACGCAAGTGTGACCCCGGGTAAGAGTGACCTTTGGTGCGCGACTTAACGGGGCGCGTGGGGTGGCAAAAAACAAGCGCGCAGGAGACTACTGTCGCATCGCGCTTGGCGGTCGGTGGAACCCCAATGTGCCCGCGCCAAAGGTCACTCTGGCGAAAAGTCACTCTTGCGTCTAATCGATCTGGGCAAGAGGAAGCAAGACCGCCAGCATTTCCGCCGGGCTGTGCCCTGGACCTTAATAAATGGAGGTGTGCGCGCGTGGAGGGCGAGAGCGCAGGACCGCCGGCATTGCCACCGGTCTGTGCCCTGAGGATCAACGTTAAGTCGGGCGCATCCCCCTACACTGGGGTTTTCGGCGAAAAATGCAAATCACTCAAAAAATAATCCAAAATGGTCAAAGATACTGAAAAAAAAAAGTCCCCAATTATTTTTGCGATTTTTGAATTTCCCCCCTGTAGAGCGAAAAGCCCGACTTAAGATCCATGCCTCGTGAATGGGGTGCATGTTCAGGCCCGCCGGCCTAGTCGCCAAATTGTGACCTGAACGTGATTGCGCGTGTGGAGGGCAAACAGGACTACCAGCGTTGCCGCCTGGCTGCGTCCTGGAGGTCGGCACCTCTGGCGTGCAGGTGTGGGCGGGAAGCAGGCCTGCCGGCATTGCCGCCAGGCTGAGTCCTGGAGGTCAGTCCCTCAGGTGTGCATGCGTGTAGAGTGTGCACGACAGCGGGCACTGCCGCCGGTCAATGTCCTGGAGGTCGATGCCTCTATCATGGGGTACATGTACAACCCAGCCTACCTAGTCACCAGGCTGCGACTTGAATGTGAATGCCTCTCGCGCGCGCGCGTGGACGGCGGACGTAACCGCCAGCGTTGCCGCCAGGCTTTGTCTTGGCGGTCGGTACCTCAAGTGCGCAGGCGCGGAATGGAAGCGGGGCCGCTGGCGCTGCCGCCGCGCGCTGTCCTGGAGGCCAACGCACCTGATGGCCCATTGCCACTGTCGCCCCGCTGCTCACTCCATTGGGGGCTCAGTTGGGGCGCTTGCCGGGCGTGGCGCCCCGCGCCCTTCATGGCGACCCGCGCGCGCCCATGCAACCCCCCCAGAAGAGCACCGAGCAGCATTGGCATGGGGGGAGAGGAGGGGGGGAGGGGGACGACGAGGACAAGGAGGAGAGAAGGAAGTCGGAGGCTCTTGGAGGTCCCGCGGGGCTTCATTAATCACGGGGCGCCCGAGGGCGGGGGTCGAGGTCGCATGGGGCAGGGGGGGCGTGCGAGGCGAGGAGGGGGTAAATTTCAAATGCCACTCGCAACTGCTGCGTGCATTCCGCAGGGGCTGCTAGAGCCTGCAGGCTACCAGGGGGCCCGGCTTACGAATCACCAGTTGGCAGATCAAGAATGAGGTATGGCCGCCTTAGGTGCAGGCCTCTCGCCACTTTGTGAGAGCACACTCCCCGTGGCTGTAGAGCTCTTTGTGGTGCGCCTCCGACATGGCAAACTTCTGGGTCGAACGCAAGTGAATTAGTGAAACGCGCCGCACGCAAAACGCAACACCGTGACCACGCATCCGATCACGGACCGCAGAAAACAAACGCGTTGGAGTCTGGAGGGCTCGGCGAGATCAAACCCGCCGAAAACCCGCCGATCCTGCTGCATTCGCCAAAAGGGACGTTGGCGGGGGCGCGAACGCCACTCCCGAATATTTAGGCGAACGAATGAACACCCCCATCCCCCCCCCACCCCCACCTGGCCCACCTCCTCACGCGCGGGTGGGGTATATTATCTGTCGCGCCTTGCGCGCGTCGCCCCAGCGCTCAGGAAACTCTCAGCCCCAGCCCCATAAAAAGGGGCGAACGGGGCGCGGGGTTAGAGGCGCGCGTCACCCCAAATCTTAGTCTGGCCCCGAATGGTCCAAATGAGCGCCCCCCACTGGAACGCGCAGTTGACAAAACGAGAAACACTAACATACTGAAACGCAACCAATTATTCTGGCCTGCGCGGGAATCGCCCAGCCAGCGGGAAAGCATGCCGCGAGACAGCCAGCGTCGCATTGACGAGTATCCACGGCCTGCATCGCTACCATCGCGATTGCCTTAGATGCGGCCGGCACCAGGTGCCAACCGGGGAGCAAATGCCCCTCGGCGCAGGCCCTGCGCTGCCAAGGTCCCGCGCCTGACCACAGAAGGCGGAGTCCGTAGCCAATTTCCTCGGTTTTGCCAGCCACGAATCACTCCCCGCACGCCAGATTGCCGATGGCACCCAGCTCGGGGGCTCATAACATAATTGATGTGGACAAAATTCCAAGCCACGCGCGCACCCACACAGCACAAACAATTCCGCACTTCTTTTGTGTAGCATCGAATAGCCCTCATAGCTGCGCGACGGCAGTAAAACGAAAGCCAATAATGACGCCGATGCAAATTATGCGAGTGGCATATCCGGGGGCCCTGTGCGCAAGGCCGGACTTGATGCCCCAGGGTCGTTGGGGGCGGGGTGCATAAAATCGGCCGAGCGCCTGAACCCAAATGACAACACGCGCTGGGCAACAAAAATATGCACTCTCGTGTTAGCGCACGGGGGCTCCTCGAATCGCCCTTGTAGCGGTGCGATGGCGGAAATAGAGGGGCCGGGGATGACGATGACGCCTCCTTTACGGGCGGCGGATCCAGGGGCTTTGAGCGCAGGGCCCCAGCAAATCTTAAGAACTTGACGCCCCCGCCCCTCCTGCGATGGCAGTGGGCTGCCATCTGCGCGAGGAAGGAGGCCCGGAGGTGCGGGGGCGGATCCCAGGGCCCCCGCAGGACGCCGCGAGCGTCGAAGGCCCACCCCCCGCACCATGCTCCTTTTAGCCCCGTCCACATAAGCGTCGCCACCTCCGTTCATACCGCGCCGCACCCGCGCGCGAGGGAGCAAGGGCGCGGTCTCGAAACCCTGCCCGCCCTCCATGCGGCACCCCGCAGTTGGGGGCGTCACCCCCGCCAGCCCCCCCCCGCCGCCGCGGCGGACAGAGGGGGGGGGGGCCAATGGCGGGAAGGGGGCCCCCGTCCGTGGCGGCGCCCGCCCGAGGTTGGGGGTTCAAAACAAAACCAGTGGCACACCATAGGTTCTCGCTACCGGGCTCCCCCGCCCCGAAGGGCCCCATGAGGCCCCGCGCGCCGCTGTGGCCACGCTCAACTCCGCCCGCGCGACTTCGCCCGAGTCGCCGCGGCCCAAGGCGCGCACGTCGCCCGCGGCCCGCGCGGCGACGCCAAGCTGCGGGTGTCCTGCCGGAGGCGGCCGCCCTCTCCTCGACGATCGACTCGTAGAGATCCTGGGAAATGCGCATCATCTCGTCGAACACGTGCCGCCTGAGGTCCGCGGCCTCCATGTGGGCCCTGAAGGATTCGTCGAAGCCCGTCGTCTGAATGCTACTGAGGTCGTCTGCCTCCTGGCTCTCCTTGCGCGGTAGCCAATCCCGACTCAGCGCCATCTTGCGCGACCTCAGTTTCTCCGAGAGTTCGACGAAGAGGACCGTGTAC